CTCTCAGTTTCACAATAAAATGTCCTGCCGTGGCAAAAAGTCTTAAAAATCAAGTTCCATTTCGATTGGGTTCATTTTTATCAATTGTTGACATTTATAATTTACATTCCTCATTCCTTATAAATACGTTGGAGCACTGTCGGAGGTATTGTTTTTTCATAGCCAAGGTTTGAAATTATCCACATTTTGGTCCTCTCTGTGCTGCAGAAATGTTTCATTATTGCATCAACATTTTTTTGTTGCAAATTCTAAATATGAAACTACTCATATTATTACATTTCGCATTAATGAAAATTGTTAGAGATGTTTTTTCAAAAGGAAAACTGCTGGCTGGGAAGTAGGGGTAGGTAGTAAGGTAGGTGGGCATTGATATTAGAGTGATACTACAAACCATGGCATCACAAAACCAGGTTCAAGGCCAAATGATTTCTAACAAACATTGGAATCTGATGTTGGTTGCAGCTGAGGAAATTAAAGTATTTGTCAGGTTTAGGAATTTATTTTTGGTGACATATTGAATACACTGATATTGAGGCTATTGAAAAAACATTAATAGAAAGTATTCCCATCTCCGGATTTCTTTAAAAACTGATATTTTTTTGATAAAGACTGGCCTTTAAATATCCTAGTGACTTTTTTAAAAATTCTTTGTGTTCAGTAAAGCTGAATATTACAAACTATCTTCTCCCCGTTTACTTCAAATTCGAAGAAAGTCCTTATATCCTTGAGTGATGGTTTTTATTAGTATTACCTTGTGCAGAGCCCTCCGCTGTTTGTCCAGCAGGCCACTGAAGGAGTTCTGAATGTGCTGCATGATGTTCAACACTTTGTGCAACCCTCTCTTTTGCTTCCAGATCAGTTTGTCTGTTGCTCTGAAGCCGCCCTCCCAGCAGATTAGAGAAATGAATATTTAATGAAAAACATCTGACTACATCTTCTAGGCCTTTCCCACATCAAAGGACTGGTGATCGCAGAATCATCTGGAAACTCCAAAAAAGGTGACTGGAAATACTGAGATGTAACAGGGAGAAGATGAAAGAGGCGAGGGGGTCCCGCCGGATGCTTGTGTGTTGCTTACAATGATTAGATCGCTCCTGAAAACGTGCTCCTTTGCAAACAGATGCGTTGTATGAAAATGCAACGCGCCTCCTCTGAATCTCCAGTTCCAATCACAAGCCCAGACTATCCAGTTTCATCCGGCAATATCTGTAAACTTCTCATTTTTTATTTGGGCTTTTTCCATTCCCCGAACAGACTGAGTGACTCTCACGACACGTGCCCTCCCCCTCCCTCAGGTAATGCTGCTGTGATTGCCATAAATCTTTTTGATTATGTTTCGGGGGGAATCCAGGCTTATCTTCGAGCGGAGGTTGGCAGAAGGATTGGAGGTGGAAATCAAGACAATATTTTTGCTGAATTATAAGTCCAGGAATGAGTATCCTTAAGTGTCTTTTCTCATCAGCGGTGTGATTAATGTTGGAAGTTGTAGAGGGTGTTCACAGGCCCTCAGACATATTGCGGGGAAATAAATTAGTTTTCATGCACATCAAGGACTGATGCCTTATATCCTGAGATAATGCAAAACCTCCAACAGAAGTGGGAGCAAAGCACAGCTTTTGATACAGGGAAACTTTCAATAAATAAATTGAATTTTGTAACAAACAAGATAGGAAATAGAATGGTATTTTGTCAAAAATGTTATTTTACTGGTGGTAAATAAATCTAGAAATGACAAGGCTGAAATATACAGACGATGAGTCTCATAAAGACAGCTAAATCTATAATAGAAATGATATAGAATGACATCCATCATTGGACATGAGCAGATTTTTCTTATCTTAATCTTAAGTGATCATTACCAATTACTACTAAAGCTGTTCTCAGGAGCTGAAGACTTGGTCCAGATGTTCAAACCTGCGTGCACGAAGGCGGAAATGTCCAATAACCTTCATTTTTGCCTCATTTATAAAAAGCAGCATGGGCATTACAAATCTCAGTGCACTGCGCTGTAAATTGAGAGCAAAAGACTGTAGAGATTAAAAAAAGAATGATAGCTGAAAACCAGTTTCAGAAACACATCAGCTCACACATCACATCGGAGCTGAGGTGGAGGAACAACGGCGTCTGTTTCATCTTCTACGGATGAATGCACGGCCCGTACGGCACACACAGGACACAGATGTGTGGATGGATCCCGGAAAAGAAGGTTTGCCGGTGCTCTCGACAGGTCTGCCGTATCCTATGGGAAAAACCTGAAAGATCACAAGTTATTCATCTCCTCTTTCAAATCTGGTTAGACAGGAATTGCACACAGCTGGAGGGAGTTTTTGCCCCTACAGTCATTGTAAAGAAGTGCAGAATAGGATGAGGAAAAAAAAACATTATCACGCAAAGAAATGTCAGTGAATTGTCCCTTTACCTTAAATGTTAAATTGAACATTTAACTGAAAGTTAAATGTTTGTGTTCTCAGTTTGAATAATTTGTAACTTAGAATCTTGCTGTACTCTTCCTGTTTGTGTGGTACTAGTTTGAGATGTAGAAGAAGATCACACACTTATAACACACAAAAAAATATATATTTATGGACATTATTGCAGTTGTGCAGACATGAAGATGAAGTCACTGCAAAAAGATTTTAAAAGTCAGGTTGACTTGAGTCGTTCCAAAACCCAAGTTGAGAGCGTACCAAAACCTTCCTGTAGCATTTCAACAAAACTCAGAGAAACAAACACGTTAACACACTGTGGTAAATGCAAACATGTGCAGCTGACACGGACATGATGCAACACAACAGCAACAGCTGAGGCCACACTCTGCTGATAATTATTTTGTTTGTGATCTGGCCGCCTGGAGAAAGCGTTTCTGGATTATCAAAGGAGAGGGTGGTCGGCACTGGCGGTGGCATAAAACCCCCGAACAGCTACGTTGCAGAGGAGTTTCTTCAGCGTCGGTTGTGGCACAGCGGTATGCCAGCACAGAAGGGAAAGATGAGAGAAAAAGATCAGAAAACAAAGTCAGATAAGACCTGACGTCTGCTTGCGGCTCCGCTGCTGAGAAACAATGCACCAGTGGTGGCCAGTCTCTCAAATTATAGGAGCTTCACTAAGTTAGAAAGACAGAGTAATAGTTTAGTAATACATATTTTTTTCCAAAGTTGATAAAGACAGTTTAGGAGAGTAGAAAATGTTTAGAAACTAAATGCACGGCTCACTCTTTGCCAAGGTCTCATGCTTTATGCTGCACAATGGAGGGGTTTCAAAAAACCACTGTCCTTAAAAAAGGACAATAAAGAAGCAGCTGCTGCAGGATCGCCCCTTAAAAATCTGATCTGAAAAAGGAATTTCAATGTAAAAAATTCAACACTACACAGAAAAAAATGAAAATATTTCAGCTCCCTCTTCATGTTACCGTAGTGTTGACCAGAATGTGCAACTCAAACAAATCAAGAGAGAAAAAATGTGCCAGTGATGCAGGTAAAAATTTGACTTTTGTAGTAAATGCTCTACGATCTCTTGAAATGTATCACAATATCTTAAATTCTTTTTCAGCACGCCAAAGTGGATTTTTTTTCCCAGCTTCGGTTACTCTGCATATCGCCGTGTATATCGACAACTGTCCTCCGTCAAACATCCGCATTGATTTCCTCCCATTTGCAAATACTTATCCCCCCTCCATGAACATGACATTTGTTCTGCTGTCATCCAGCGCGGGAAAAGGCCAACGGCTGGGGGAAAACAGATGGGAAATTGGGCTCTCAGTGCTGACGGTCAGCATTGTTCCACCGCCTCATTGAAGAATCCTGCAGCTCAGGAAGCTTTTTTGAGTGAGACAGCCCTCACACATGCTAAGCAAAATGACCCAATCAATTAGCCAAGGATGGATATTAGTCATTCTCTTCTCTGAATAAGAAACGTATTTTTCTACCAGAAAAAAAAAGGGAAGGTGTTGCTAAAAAATGAGCTACATGTGTCTGCATAGTTATTAAACCAGCCATTATGATTTTTTGTTTTCGCAATTATTCATTGTTTCAGTGGTTCGAAATAAAAATAGACAAGAATGGGCATATTTTTAAGACATTTGGCCAAGCCTTTTCTTTCTTTTTTTTTCATCTATAGCGCCCTGTCTGCCTACGCAGCACAGGTTATATAAAATGGTTGCTCAGCCCACTCAGTGTTTCAGCAGGCGGTGCACAAGTAAAAGAATTAGAAATGCATGTATCGTCTGGATGACCTTTGGCTCGCACATTGTCAGAAATGTTAACCCCACTCGCAGCAGTTCCAGTGAACTCGTTGCTACTATTTTTGCGCCTGTGAGTTCACTGTCGCTATTTTTGCATCTGTGAGTTCAGATCAGTGTCAATGTAACGGGGAGTTTTCTTAACAACATTTAAGAGTGTGAACAATCTGTTTCATTTCACTATTTCTAATTAAGATAATACTTTCCCCTTCAAAAGTCTAATATGATCACTAATTTTTCCAACAGCTGTTAAAAAAACAGGTGTGTTGAAGTGAAGCGAAGACAGGAGAGTGTATTCTGTCGTGACTCGTTTTTTTTTTTTTGCCTTAGTTTCAGATACGTGCAAGAGCTGCAGCACTGAATCACAGCATCTATTAGAAAACACTTTTTTTGCTTTCCTGTGTAAATCGATGTGCAGTTTCATGTTTGAGGGTTAAATATTTCTGACTAATGATACTTGAAATCCGTTGCCGCTCAGGACCGCGTCAAGGCAAAAATCCAATGAAAATACCAGAATTTACCAGGTCCGTAACACAATCTTCATCCAAAAAATGTCCACAAGGTGAAACATTTATCAATGCAATCTGCCAAGTAGCTGTCAAGTCATTTTAAGAGTTTTCTACCCAGCTGGTGTGCTTCACCTGCAGGACAGCTTTCATGAATAAGCTTCAGTGCGTTAATGAAAAAATAAAATAACTCTCTTTGCTCTCACTGTGTGTATCGTCTGACTGAGAACATTCATCCACATGAATGAAGAGGAAACTGTTATACAGTGAATTGCCAGATACCTTTATTTTCCAGTGTACAAAGAAAAAAAAGCCGATTCAAGTTGAATATTTGATGATGCACAATAGAAAGCAACACACACACACACAAAAAAAAGCCCACCACGCAGATTGAACAGTGGCAGTTCTGCAAAGTTTTTTGAAGGTTTTCTTGAGTCTTCTTTTGCCTTTTCTCAGTCTTTGGACTTCGTCTTTTCTTTCACTTGATGAGGAAGCTGCAAGAAAGAGACAGGTTTCAGGCAAAGGGAAAGATAGAAACAAATTCAAAGATGGCAATAAAATGCTTGTGCTTCTGGTTCACAAAGACATTCTTTTGGATGGAGGCAAAACATGTACTTGCACATCAAGTTTGGCACATGCTTGCTTCTAAATCTTGATCGTAAATTCTTGCAAAAATAGTCAATAAACCAAACAGATTGTGGAAGCGTGTAATCAGGCAAAATTACTCAGATACCTGCTGAGGATACAGTTATGTTTATAAAGAAATCTGAGCAGCCGACTTGCCCCAGTACATTTCCAGGTTATATGCCATTCACATTCCGAACACGCATCTTAATCATACCCAGGATGCCACAATCAAACATAAATAACAGCAATTTAAAACGCCACAGCTTCAGACTCAAAGTAAGTAGTAGTAAAATGCACCATATAATCTCACTAATACAGTCCCTCCGTCCCTGATGTTTTTCTTAATCTATTGCATTTTACATGTCCATGATTTTTTCAATATGAATTGTCCCATTTGGTAATGTAAAATTAAATGAAAAAACAGAAGTTGCTAAATACTTAGAAAGACTAATACTAATAACTAAACAAAGAGAGGTGTAGTGCATTAAGTAAACCCCTTAAAGGGCTCTTTTTAAATATCTCAGAACAGTTTGGTAAATTTAAATCTTGACAATCCAAAATATAGACTTATATACTCTAGGAGAACTCACCCAGCATGGAGGACCTACAGAATATATGTGCAGCCGTTTTTGGTGATATTTCTGATTTGCTTTTCAATTAGAAAAATATTTTAATGATTCCACCCCCACAAAAAATTGGTTTTAGTATGAGGCTTTTAAGCAACAGACAAGGGAAATGCTGGATGGAGTAAATATGTGTGTTTGTGTTGCTAGGGACCTAAGAAAGTGAAGCACTGATTTAAAATAAAAAGTAAAGAAAACAAAAACAATTACAGTGAGAAAAAAGATTACTTTAGTTAGACATCCATTACTGTTTGGGGCTTCAACTCGTGCATTCATGGTTCAGTGTGAGGTGCAAGAAAACTAGGGAATAAAACAAGTGCCAAGAACCACTGCAAGCTTTTTTTTGGGCCTGTCTGCCAAAAAAACAGGTTTCATTTATCACCTGGATCTTTGCTGAGGCCAAATTGTGATAAATTATTATAGATCGTTCATCCATCCAACTGTGTTTTCAAAGCGTCTAGCTTTGAGCATAGAAGTTTCCACGCTCAAATTCTCAGATGGCTTTGTGCAGCCAAACCACCTGGCAGGTTGGGTTGTTTTCATAAGAGCACATTTTAAAGGACCATGTCCTAAAAAAGCTACACACACCAGTGACTGTCAAACATGAATCCATTCGTACAATATTAAATGTGTGTACACAGTTAAGTTTCTGAACAAGCCTAAATCAAACCTTATTCAACCTGAATATAAACCTAAAAAACAACAAAAAATATATATTTTTAAATCTATGTATTTCTTTCGATTTATTGCCATAATGCATATATGTTTCTATATAGTTATAGTGTTTTATGGGTTAAGTAATTAATGAAAAATGAGATTAGAGGGCTCTCAATCAAGGGGTCAACTTTAAATGACTGTAGAATGGAAGAAAAGCATCATCAAGAGGCCTATCTAATTTTCTTCTTATCTAGCTACCTTGAATGAACTCTGTGATAAATATTAAAGCATTAAACCCAATGAATTTTTATGTGATGCACTTGTACTGATAAAAATCAAAAAAATGACTAAGTCTGTTCATATCACATGGAATTTTGCTTGGGACAAAGAATTACAAGTCTTTCATGTTATAAATAGCTGGTTCCGCATGCATGAAAGTTTTTTTCCTGATATAGCATGATTTGTTCCTAAGCCACGGATCGGAACAGGGTTCAAGTCCTCTGTCACATTAAATCATCAGCCTGGTTGAAGTGTCCTCTGATTCTGCCCCGCCTCCAGAGATGAGCTTCAGGGAGATGTGGGTGTTTTGTTCTAATATCTTACTCTAGCCCAAATGGCAAGGAATTGGACCCAGACTCTGCAGACTTGTATTTTCTGTCAAATATTAAATCTTTTTTATGAAGTTGTGACCTTTAGTTAAAAGTGGGCCCAGATCGCTGCTGTTCTGGCTCACTAAGCCAAAGGAAATTAGTGTTCACACATCACAACATAGCAACCTTTAGGAAACTTTCAGAGATCCAGTACCCGGGTAATCAGAGAGAAATGGCAGACTAAGTGAAAATACATGACATGTACTGCAGAGCATGACAAGCCTAAAAAGTGACATAATTTGAACGGTTATATTTGTTAAAACTGCAGTCAGAAATGTGTCTCCGGATCTTGACCTGTTTGAAAAGTGTGTTTGATTTGTTTTAAAATGAAGGAACTGTTTGTCTTTAGACATATTTTGTCATATGTATACAAAAGAATTGGACGGTCGTTTGCAGTATTTAGTGAGCAAAAAAAAGGAGAAATGAAAAGAAAATCTGTTCTTATAGTTACCTGTAGGGATATCCATGGTACTTGGACCTGAAGATGGAAAGCAGGAAACTGAAGAAAAACACCACCAGTCCAAGACCAACCAGACAGATAACTGCAAGAAGACAAACAAAGAAACTTTTGTGATCTACGATCTCAACAATAGCGTCATATGTGCGAAAACCATGCAAACTTACAGGTTTCAGAAACTGAAACTGACACAATGGTTGTAAAGACTCTTAACCCCCTGATCCCTCTGGAACAGGCTTTATCTGGGACTAGAGATCCATATGTCCCTTTTTACCATTGAGTCCAGTTTTTAGTCCTGGTAAACTAAAACTGATTTTTGTATCTTTTTAAAATGTTTCTATATAGACAGGTGCCGAGAACGATGTTGCAATGGAATGTTCTGCAAGCAAACCAGCATGCATGTCAATACATAGTGTTGCAAACAAAGAACACCTTTTCCCAATTCAAAGATACAAAACCTTCCTCCAAACTCCCCAGATCCCAGTCCAATTGAGCATTGACTGGACTTACAAGAACAAGCCTAATCAATAGAGGCCCCGGTCCATGGTGGTCCATAGCAACCCAACAGACTCAGACTCCGATCACGAGACACAGCAGAACCCCATGAAGACCTGAGGCCAAGCCTCGCAGCAGTAGCAGGTCCCATCTGATTCAGTGGCAAAGTGGAACCAATAACATTAGGTCTGGGTTGTTAAAAGTTTTGGCTTATCAGCATAAAGCAGATGTGTAACAATTTGAAACAATGGCGGTGATTTTCATCGCTATGAAGGAAAAAGTTTTAAAGTTCTCCTTTATTTGCATAATCCTTCAAAGTACATGATGCTATGTCTGTCACCAACCCTGCTGTGATGCAGAAAATTATGTTTGAAGCCATAATGATTTTATTTCCTTAGAGGCCACTCTAAAGTGAAATATACAAACGTGATCTTTGTCTGTAGGGGAATTATGTGCGCCAGCACACGTGGGTTTTTGGGTGTGTGCGCACTCACCCTCATGCAGTTTCTAATCCTTGAGAGGCACTGTGTTAAATTAAACTGTCACCACCGACTGATATTGTTAATCAGGGATTAGGATGAGAACCTCTTCCGGAGACCAAATAGCACGATATCCTTCTAACTCTACGTGTGAGAAAGTCTCGCACGTAGGCAAAGGGGCGAGTGTCAGAACAAAAGATTTGGCAGAGAAACTGTAAGATGGATTCCGAGTGTCAATTTCTGTGAACGTGCCGGTGGTTTGGGTGCTCTGTGTGTGTGGCCTGTAATGCATGCAAGTATAAAATTATATTCGCTGCCATCACTCAGTGTCGGCTGCTCCATAACTGCTTCGCTTTCATTCTTTCACTCTCGAAGCATAAAGAAATATTTACAATTCAACATGAGAGTCGGGGTTTGCGCTGTGACAGAGTGCGTGAAACAGCAGGTGAGATGACGTCCAAGTGCTAATCCACAGAACATGCACTACAAAAACATTTCACACAGGTGACTGAGACGTTCTTTATTTAAGATAAATCCGGATACATTTATGGTAAAATAAGGGTAATACTACATCTAATTGAAGGGAGTGTTTTGACAAGTATAACGAGACAAAACTCTTACACGGATTGACTTAATGTGTGTTTGAGAGTGTGTCCTCACAGAGAGCCCCTTTGCCCCTGTGTTTCATGGGTTGCTGCGCTGACGTATGTGCATATGACTGTGAGTGCCAGAGGGTCTGAGTAATTTCATTAGCCGTAGAGGGGCGTATTTCCCTTACTTCATCAATTATAACGGCAATCCCTGCAACGATAATGACACTCCCCCAAAAGCACACGCACTGGGCACGCCAATACGCAAAGTGATTTATGACTTTAGTGAAATGACAAGTTGTTTAAGCTAATAATTTCCCCCACTGACAAAGGTGGCTATCCCTCTTTTGACTGAATGATTTGAGTTTTAAATCATGATGTATTAGCCCAGTGACGACAGGAGAGAGACAAAAATATGAGATTAAGCTGACCTAATTAGAAGCACACATAGATACAATTACATAAATTAATTTGCTGATTAATTTGTGAACATTTAAATGGAGCTTTACTGTTTTTTGTATTGTATTTGTTGTGTATTCAATACACATGCTATCAATGTGGCTTTTTATACTATGGACTGAAGTAGCTGGTGGGTGGTTTGACTGCAAGGGTGGAAGAAGTTATCAGCAGTGTTGGACTGGTTTTCATTCAATTCAATTACAGATATTTTTATTTTTTTTTGTCAACCAAAGTTTATAAGTGGAGCTAAGAGTCAAATGAGAATGTGCTTGTTCTGGGAGTATGTCATATGGATGGCTGCATTCCAATAACTGAAAGTTTTTGTGATCTTTAGAAGCTCCCCTATACTTTTTTAAAACCATGTTTTTATCTATTATGTCTGTTCTGTTTTTCTTCACTGACAGTCTGACATTTCCCTGACTCCATTAGTTTCCCAGTCCCATTGAATGATTTGACACAGTATAACTTCATGTGCAGTGAACTCCTTTATTGAGAATAAGTGTTCTAGTGCAGATCTACATTGCCGTTGCAATGTCATATTCTCTCTGAACACACTGTCTTTTTTCTTTTCCTGTATGTTTCATACTTGCCAAGTCACCCCAGTAGGCATGAAAATAATTCCTTCCATTTACTGAAATTAGCAGTTAGTAATTATAAAAGGGGGTTGACCTGAAATAGCAGAAGAAAATGCTAGAAACATGTCGCAGGTTCAATAGCACATAGTCGCCTATACAGTGCACACAATATATTTGACTCTTTGCTTTTTGAATGTTGAAACTGACAGTCGTAAAAAACTAAACAAAAACACAGTAGTTCAATTTAATTCTCTGTGGTAATCATCATATATAATTCTAAAGGTTGGTAAACAGAGGGAAACGTGCTTCTCCTGCATTTTTTTTGTCCTCCATGGTAACTTCTTTTTTCATATGTTAATAATGCTTGAGATGTGGAGACTGATTAGACGGGGGCGCTAAAATATTGAAGAGATTTTCATCCTGAAGCTTCAAGTGGGTACAAATAAAAGGCAGACAGCACCTTTTCTCAGTTGGGTTATATTTGCACTCTTACACACAAAATCACTGTTTGTTAGCAGTGGCAACTCACTGGCTTGTTAGAATAATTCTTCTCACCGACTCTTAATTAAATCAAACTTGTGCATAACTGCACCCATAGTGAGCATGGAGTAATTAGTAAATGCCATTCAATATCTATCTCCTCTTCTGACAATCTCGATAATCTGCTGAAACTCCAGCAATGCAGGAAGGACTGACAAACCACAGTGTGCCCATTAATTGACTAATTAGTCTGTAGAAGTGGCAGAAAATGACAGAAAGATAAATCCATTCAGTTGCACATGTAGAAAGAGCTGCCCTTTATTACATTAATTGGCCACATTTTGGAAAAACACAATTAAAATGAATCCGACAAACAACAGAATAGAAATGTAAGCGCGGCTGACCTTGTTTTTGTTTGCTTGAACGACTATCTAATCTGAATACCTTAAAGTATTTCATCAGTCCATTAACTGCACTACCTAGCTGGGAAAAGCACTGGTTGAATGATATGGTTCAGTTCAATACATCTCCAGAGCTATCTCTCTCTACCCTCTCGGCTCCACTATCAACCACACAGCCTGCTTCTTGCTCCCGTCTACTTACCAGTGATGAAGAGGACAGAGAAAGTTATTAGAAACATCACGCCACAGGTACTTGACGGCACTAAGAGCTTGCAAGGGTGTTTCGAAATCCCTGACTGGAATAACCTCATATCTTCTCCATATAATAACAATGAGTGAGTGGATATGGTGCCACCAAAAAATATATTTTTGTACGGATAACGTCGTTCCCGCCAAAGAGGTCCAAGTCCACCCAGATAGGAAAAAGCCTGTGCCTTCAGAGAAAAACAAATTATTCTCAACATCAGAGAATTTGCTTCACTGATGCCAAAAAACACGGGAGGTCGGCAAAGATGTCAAGTGTGTCATAAAAATGACCACATAAAAACAACAGGAAGTTAACCTTCACACAGGGGTGGAGGGTGAATTTCAGCACCTGCTCATGAGCTCCATTACCTGCAGCACAGCCTTTAAAACCTGGAAGCCCCCCAAGAACAGCCCGAAGAAGGGCACTCGGAAGGTAGCTCTCATCGCTCTTGTAATGAGAGAGCCATAAAAAATAGGAAGAATAATAAAAAAAAAGAAAAAAAAAAAGAAAACCTCACTCCAAAAAGGTGTCTGACTCAATTTGACTCACTAATGGCTTCCAACTGGGCTGGCGGGGTGGGGCTGAGGATGCAAAAATAATCATTCTGGACACCGTAAACAAGAAACTGAAACCCCCCCCCCCCCCAAACACAGCAGCCGGACTCTTGTTTGCACGTTTTCTCCTTAGCACTTGATATTATGCAGCCACACAGCCTCGGTTAAAAAACTCATCACCCGCTCTCACCGCGACCACCGGCCCATCCCGTGGATAACGGCTCACGGAAACTGTTAGTCAACAACGCATTCTCTGACACCCGCTTCGCATCAACCGCCTCCCCACAAAGGCTGTGTCCCCTCGCCCGTCGTCTTCATCTCTTCCACCTGCCTTGTCACTGTGAAATCTGCGGATCCACAGTCACACCGCGTCACATGTCGGCCCTGCAGGAGCTCATAGACTGTTGAGAAAACTCCTCCTTTCCACTGAACGTGAATAAAACCGAGGAGAGCGAGCCAACCTCAACCATCGCCAGCTCCAGTCGAGATAAAAAAAGTGATAAGATAGAGGATTATGAATTCCCAACCCCAATATTTAATAAAGTTCTGAATCTTAATTGATTAAGTGAACATTTGAAGATTTCCCTCCAACATAGAAACGATTTTCAGTTAAATCTAGCGGTAAAAGTACCCGTCAGCAGAAATATGAGATAATTCGGGGCGAGCAAGGACATTCTAACAGCATTTCAAAACTCAATCAATGAACATCAGCTCATATTCTACTTGTTGACAGCAGTCGGCATGCCAGTAAACGATAAAACAATCAATGGCAGCAGCTGCTATCTGCAAAGAACACTCTTAATGCACTTCACTGACTTTCCCCTAACTGATCTATTCATGTTTATTTATGATTCTGTTGGAATATGAACACATTGAAAAAAATTACTGAGCCAGCAAATAGTGAATAGGCTTAAAAGGTTAAAGGTGTATTTAGAATTTAGAACCCGAATTTCACAGTTGGTCCTTTTTTGGGTGTGTCCTTTCTTTAGACCCATGAATACACAGAACAGAACTGACATACAGAGTTTTCGTATTTTATTTGTATAATATCTGCTCAAAATTTCTCCATATAACTTGTCATTTGCTAAGCTCATGGCGACGTGATCAATAACGCCCCATGACAGCTGCCTCCAGCAAAATGCTTCGTGATCAACAAAGAAATGGGTCATCGTAAATGGGAAAAAAAGTAGCACATTCTCAAGGAAAAAGAAATGGAATAATAATCTACTAACTTCTCCTCTTGCCAACGTCCCCCTTGGAGGTTGCAGCTTCATTGAGTAGAACCATCCCCATGGTAATTGCTGCATCTGGGAAGTATGTTAAGAAAACAAGACGTATACAAGGTACAGCAGAGATGGAAATGAGCATTGACCCTGAGAGGACTGTTGGACGTACTTCTGGACTCACAGATAAGCACGTACACATGCAAACGAATGGCAGCACACGTCATGAAGAGTGTCACAAGAGCCGATTCACCAAATTCACTTCATATTACAAATGACATCCTTATGACCGTCCTACCTTGAATTTGATTGAGCTGAACACAATTAAACTGAATATGACAAACAGCAGAATATAAACGTAAGCACAGCTGACCTTGGTCTTTGTTTGCTTTAACATTTATCTAACCTGGATACCTTAAAGGACTTTAACTGTTTTACAATCCTCTAACTGTATCACATGGAAATGAATAGAAGCATGCATAATAAAGAGTGTCGTGAAAGCCGATTCACGGAATTCACTTCACATTATGAAGCAACCCCATACGACCGCCCTACCACGGATTCGATTCGGGCACATAAGCTCCATCTTTTGTCGAGATTGGGCCAGAGTGGAGTTAATTAAACTATGTTTTTGACGAATGTTGCTTCTAGTATTTTTCATTACATTTTACAACATACCGTGACAGGAAAGGAGGTAAAACAGGAAATTACACTCCAGCTAAACCCAAAAAACAAGATACAAACTGAGATCCTTTGCCTGGATCTGTGTAGTTTGTGGTTGTTGAAAAGAGGACAAACAATCATAGTTCCTATACATAAACGCAAGGTTGATTTGGTTTTACTTAAAATCCTAAATTAAATCAGCAGCACTATACTGCACTGGTGTTTTACCCTTGGAAGGATAACTTCGTAATGTATTGCTAATTAAATTGTTTTTCCAAAGGCCCAAACATTATACATGACAACTCTACAGAGATATGCTAACAAAGCGCAGGACACAGATAAAGACAAACACACCTCTTGGTCTGGAGTTTGACATTAAAGACGTTCCACGGGAATTATTTGATGTTCTTACATCAATTTAAAAAAAAAATTCATTCAGTTTGATTCTTGGCATGGAGTACATGCTCAAATCTTAAATTGCATGAGAAGCTTTTCTTTCAACATGTGGTTGTTCTGGTACATAAAATTCACCAATGTCTGTCTTTCATTCTTACCAAAACAATTCGGTGCTGCATATTATAAATGGAAAAAGATTCACAAATAGAAATGAGGAGCTCACACGGTTAAGCATGCAAGCCAGCAGTGATAAGAAAATGTAATTAACCACTGACATCCAAAGTTCATTTCTGCTTGAAGGCTTTGCAAAAAATTATATAAAAACAGGCATAATTTGTCTATCTTCTATTGAAATGTAACCACAAAAAAATTAATGAATAAATCAACAAAATTAAAAAAATATTCCCCAGGAATTCACGTTTAGTGGGAGCTCAAAAGTCAAATGTTCTGGAGTGGAACATAACAGATTGTTTACTCTAGGTTAGTGTCCAACAAATCTAAATTCTAATCTATTCTATTTATTGAGTCAACACTGAGAACCAAATCAAACTCAGTTTTCAAACTGAAAATTCTGAAATCAGTAGCTGATCTTCATCAGGTTGCATACCGGCAGAGGGTCTATAACTCTGAAGCATTCATTTCCTGTATATAAAAAAGGGGATTATGACTACATTAGTGAGCATGGGGGATTACACATGCTAGCATCGATCCATGCGTAAACAGCCTGGATGAAGCTCATAAAATGGAATGAAACTGCCCTCCAAAACTGGAGGTGTTTAAGCTGGTACGTTTGTTTCATCTGGATGCAATCAGGTGGTTGGAAAATAAAAAAAAGTTTAAGTTTAAGCAAACAAATATTACTCTGCAGCAGGTGTAACCTTGGACGTGTTATTTCTAGTGAGGACACCCGCAACAGTGAGAAATGAACGGTTATCATTACCCACACACTTTCAAAAGCAACAGAGCAAGCACACATGGGTACGTACACAAACGGTAGACAAATACAAACAGCAAAAATCTATCCTTACAACCAAGTCCTGAAGCAAACGTACATGCATGATCAAACACACATTACTAAGAGGGGTTGATTCTGGAGCAAATAAGGCAAGGAAGAAAGCAGCTGTTTGGGGTATTTGTTCAGCAAAGCGGCAGTGTCTTTATGGAAAACGCACACAAATGGAGAATGTTTCCATGTTGAGAAAACAAAAGCAGGTCAAAAACAAGACTGAACCAGACACATTAAAGGTTGATTCTGTGACGCTCAGCAAATGATGACAAACTGTTAAAACACCTGAAGATGGCTCCCAATGATGAGCATTTTATAAAAAAAAAAAGGAAAACAAACCGATGAAAGGATACTCAGAAGAAGGATGATGTGAGATTCAGCAACAAACTGAGCCTGGCTGCTGCCATGGATATAACTCTGTCAAAGAGAGAAAGGCAGAACGAGAGAGAGGGAGAAAAAAAATGGTTAAACATTGTTCTTTTCAAATGGTAGCTCGTTCAGCTAAACACTCAATCTGTACAAGGATCATTTGCAAAATGAAGGAGAAAGTTTGAGGCGGAATTTTATTCCTGGGAGATTTTTGAGACATTCTGAGCTAAATAACATCTATATTTCTTCTAAACCATTAAGATTACGATGTTGTGTGATGCATTATGAGGGAAACTAAACTGTTTATCATAGTTAAGAGTCAATCACATTTAGAAAGAAGTGCATAGGAATGCATGTACCAGCTCTCTTACCAGTTCTAAAACAGAGAATAATTCTTATTGTAACAGCAGCTTTATATACATATAATTATTATTATTACTGACTGCATGCAGTGGTGCGAATGAAATTAGATATTTCTGCGATTTAAACAGAACTTTAATTTTGAGAGGTATCACACCTTTCATATGGCTGCTTCCTTTAACTGAAAACCTGTAGCTATTAAAACGTGTTATGTCAGCAACACATATTATGCTTTAATAACATTTTTGAGCAAACTGTAAAAATGTCCAGAAGTGAAATGTTAAATCATTACACCAGACAACAAAAATACCCCAAAAAAGCATGGCTGACTTTACAGGGAACATTAAAAAATCATTACGAAAAGTAACAACTTTTACAAGTTACTCTCATTCAATCCTCACAGAGTTCTGCTTACAGTGGCACTCTAACAGAGATAAAGCGGACATATCTGTCCTTGACACAAGTCAACCTAGATTTTGTTGTAGAAAAACAAATGAATCCACCTTTTGTTTTGCTCTCATATTTTGCTACGAATGGATACGAGACTGTTTTCAATGAGTGTTTCACTCAGCCGGAAACTTTTAATAGGTTTTATCTTGAATCGTTATTTTTGTCATTAGATGGGTCGAGGGGTCAGTGCAAACCTCCCTACAACTTCTAAAGGAGACCTGCACTATTCTGTTCTAAATATTAAGATTTACACAAATGTCAGCTATTTTTTGTAGAACGAAGAGCTGTATTGGATAAAAATGTATCTGGAGATTGACGTACATCCACCAGAAAAGATTTTCTTCTTTTCTTTCTTTCTTTTTTTTTTTACACAGAAAACGTGAGTTCTTAAATAGTCACAGCCTCAATGAGTTGTCACCTTGAACGTGTAAAGAGTGTAAAGCTTGCATGTTTTTGTTAAACCAGGGTAATTAAGGTAATGTTAAAACATCTGCTGGTGTAGTCACGCCGATACAAATCCATAAGACACTACCTCAACAAAAAGTGCCTGTGCCATGAAAGTAACAGACCAAAAAAGAGAAGAACATATTTACATAATGGAAATAAAATATATTGATTTGCCAGTGTTTCATAGAGGGAACACACACATACGCTGTTCAGTTTCATAAATGTTTGTCATCCACCATGCAAAGCAGAGAGGCCATGAGAGCCGCAGTGTTCAGAGGTAAAAATTCTAATTTGAATGACAGACAAAAGAAACAAATATACAGGTCATTGAGAAGTTAAGAAAAAGAAGATGAAAAAAGGTCTTTCCACAGATTTTCAGGATTTGGTTTTCTACTTGACTGGCGCAGTGTGTAAGGATGGAGAGATGAACACAGGATGACAAAGGAGGTGGAGTAAAAGGTGGACAGATTTTCTTGCTTCACTGGAGAGAAATAAAGAATTTTTACACTTGAAAGCAAACATTAGGAGACAGAGAATGAGATGGATCCATTTTTTCCAAGAAAAGCTAGTCACTGCATGTTTTTTTTATTCTAAAGTACCATTAAAGTATTTTATTTTAAGACAAGTAAGAGTAGTCCAGAAAGATCTTCTTTACTGTGACCATTTGTTGCACCCATGGTAAAGAAGTAGACAGAATACTGTGAATGAACAGAATTAAACCCAAATATTGTGGTGGTTTACTTGAATCTTATTTTTGTCCACAATGAAAAATGTGAATTTTAGTTAAGCTTGGTTTAGAAATGTTAGAAATCAACAATTGCTTTAATTATTTATTACAACATTGAAAGTGCAACACAATAATACAGTTTGAGGGATACTCTATTTTCTATAACTAAACTCAATAATCTAAATAATGATATATCAATACAGCAAAAAATATTAGAAGTAAAATAAAAGAATACAAACAAAAACCGCATGCACTTCCGTTTCCTGGCGAATAATTAAATAGGCTAGGAAGCTCTTTGCAAAAACATGGATTTAGTGACTTTAATGCAAATTAGAAAGACAGAAAACGCCTATTGCCTATTCCTAAAATAACTTTGTCAACAGGAACTGCAGCTATATTTGATGACACACTGTAAACAAGTGCAAACCTTGATAACATGTGGCACAATACCTGCAGAGTTTAATTAAATACCCGGGGAGAACACAGCGAAAGAGAAAAACTTTTTAAAAGTATTAAATGAGTTTAAGTCTACTACGCCAACAGTTTCCTAGCAACTTTGATTAATTCTGGTATTGTGGGTGTCGATTTTTCTGAGGAAAAGAGAGCAGAAACTGGGCTCGAGGTATGATTTTTCACATAGCGACCACGGCTTATTTCAGATTCAAAGAGTGAACACGTCGTTCCCAATGAGTGTGTGTGGCGTGCAGCGCAGTGACAGATTGGCTCTCGTGAGAATGGCACAGCTGTGTGTCATACTTTACTAAGTTACCAAACATGCCATATGAGAAGATTAACACAGTCATCTAAAGAATGATTAAAACATGAGCTTCAGTCTACTTAGTGCAGTAGGGATAAAAAAAAAAACCCGAGTTCAGAACCAAGTAGGTAACAAACATCACAATATACCTTCTGAAGTGTTTGAGGGACTAAATATTAACGACCGATCACATGTCCATAAATCAGTCATTTTACTTTACATAATTCTTTTGTAAGTTTCACTCTGTAAGCATCACACAGTTTGTAATGACAGAGGCCCCTGCATGTTACACCCTCAGCATAAAAAGAAACTGCAGAGAAGAGGTGGGGGGGGGGGGGGGGGGGGGGGGGGTGGTTGGGTAGGTGGGGGGATTAAACATTCCTCAATCCATGCCTGGGCACTTCCAATTAATCTGATGGATTAGAACACAGCGGTTTCATTCATTACTGGGCACAGCTGAGAATGTGCATGTCTCAGCGTATCCACATAAGTGTAGGTATACAGCAAACCCTGTAGGTAAATGGTTGTTGTTCGGGGAGAATTTTTTCCCGTTGAGGAAAGTGTGACGGTCCGTGTTCATTAGGAAGTAGTACACTGAGGCGGTCTGGAAGTAAACAGCAGCCTCTGCCTGGCAAGCCAACACTGAGACGAGCTCTGGAGGAAACCCACAACACACATCCTCTGCTTTGATTCTGTTGTTAACATATGAACCCATGTTGTCCGTGCAGAAAATACACAGGCATTCTTCAAGGGAGCCTTTGCGAACATTGAATTAAACCTCAATGAATTGAAAAAAAAGAAACAACATCAGAGGATATGAGTATCGTGACCATGTCTCTATATTTATTATCAGGTAAGATAACATCACCTCCCTGTTGAGGTTGGGATAAATAATATCAAGTAAAAGTTATGCAAACAAATTATCGATCCCTCTCGTTAATGAGCTTCAATAAAATAAATACTAGAGTTGAGCTTATCTTCATTAGCATGTGTGTTGCATAGATCTTCACCATAATGTCGACAGAACTGTCAAGGGCAAGAGAAAGGGGAACACCGCATTAAATTCATCTCAAGCTCACAGCTATTCATTCCAATTTCCTGTTCTTCACAGTTCTTATATGAGACCACAATAATACATGTCCCATAAAGTCATATTGAAGAAAAAGTTGACAATGTTTTGAGATTGTGGTGAGGTGATGTTTAAGGTTTTAAATGTCACATAAGGAGAAGGAAATGCAAAGGCTAGAAGTGTTTTCCACTACCTTATGGAATACAAAATACTTCAAAACAATAAATAAGTGGTTTGCTACTATAGAGAGAATACAGAGCAAATATAAACAGCCGCGCACATGAACGAATGCAAGTCAAAACACAAAACTCATCAAACTGTTTGCTGTGAAGGGGAACGGAGGAAAAAAAAAAGTGTGAAGCCCTGGAGCTTAACCTATAATGTTCACAGAATGGAAAAGAAAACTGTGCTAGTAACATTAATCTAGTGCTATCAACCAAACTAGTGGAATATAGTATTCAGTATTTGATGATACAATTCCAGCTTTTACCATAAATAAATTTAAAAAAACTAAAGACATTTGTGTGCTTCCTGTGAGTCTGAACATAAACCAACAGTAGAAAAAAAAAACTCTGATAGAAATAAATATCCATCTGGTAACTTTTTCTATGAGTTTTTCTTTATATATAAAACAAACAAAAAGTAACACAACGGAAATCCTTTAGCCAAATTTTCCCAGTGGAGTTTATCAAAACATGTCCTTCATATTTTTGTCAAAGTACTATGGATGCTTGAATAAGAATTATCTCAATATAAAATAAAGCCAATGTAACTCAGTGCTGGAGCTGTCTGTCAGTCTCCAACTGTCCACTGAATTGGGGGGATTAATTTTCTTTTTCTTTTTAAAGTGGCGGTTGAAACATCAAGACGGTTATTCTTTAATTAAAGTAAATCATTAATGTGATTGTATATCTTACACATTCTGTACTTCTTTTAAAATTAGTTTCCTTTATACTGTAAAACAAATTTAGAAATATTTTTCATTATAAACTTAAAGTTAAGGCAACAACATTTGTTTGAATCCCAATTAGGAAAATGACAATCAGACTTTCACGCCTATCTCCTTCCGTGAGGATAATGTACTTATTTTTAGGATTTGCTCTGGTAATTAAAATGCCAGGGACTCGCTATTTTGCCAATGTGACCAAAGTACTGGTATTTCTGTGTTCATTAAATCCACTTAAATCATACAATTTAAATTAGAACAATGTAAAATAGCTCATCTCTCAGATTTTGATGCATATTAGATTAGTTTGCTTCGACATATTTGGAAAATATGCATTTGCCGAAGGAGGCCAAAGCCATCTCAACGGGCTGGAAAACACACTTTGACAAGTGTCCGTCAACGGTTTCCACAAAGTGTCACATTGTGGACTTTCAACGCTCAAAAGAAAAACGTAAAATGACAGGGGCAGAAGTGCCAATAAATGTCATGCTGAGCAGATTTCATGCTTGGCATCAGTTTAAAGTTTCCTCAATGCTAATAACTGAATGCATGTGGACAACACCCAGCATCCGGCCTCTCTGTCTTTCCGACCCGAGCTTTCTCTATCAAACAAACAAAGCCACTGCAGCATTAGCTTTTAATAAATGTGGGGCAGATAACCTTTACATGTAGCCAGTCTAAACCCTTTTCATCCCATATTATCTATTTGAGTGCAAGTTGAAATTACTGATTTCAGTGTGTTTTTATGGGTAAAGGTCAGGAGGCACTGAGACAGAAAGAGTGGGAAATGGGAAATCAACAAAGCAGAATGAGGAAGCGAGGAGAAAGACTAACTGATGAGTCAAATACAGTTGATATGTCCCTTGTTTATTTTATAAGGATTATGCAATTTGTAATTTCTCACAAATTGCTATTAAAATTAAACAGTATTAGGAGGATTTTTTTAGATTTCTATAGTTAATAGAAAATACGGATCCAACAGCTTGGCATGACAGTATGGGAGTAAAGGGAGAGACAAATATTTAAAAAATGACAAAATTAAACATGGAGCATAAACAGAAAAATCATTCCTGAACTGACAGCTTAAATAATATAATCTAAATCTTGTAATTAAATGGGATATGTGCTGCAGCACATCTCTAACTGAAGGTCTTACCCAGCAGATATGGAGCATCTGTGGAGGGGACTTATCTGGAACTGCAGAACGACTAAAGGCCACAAATTTCTGTCTACTTTAGGAATTCATGTGATGCTTTAAAATCTCATCATCTACTCTCTGTTTATACAGCTCAGTGTTTACAGACTCCTGGGAGAGTTCAGTTTAATTACTCTGGAGTCAATTAAAGCCATTTAAGACTTGAGAGATCACCTCACTCTACTGATTGACTTTTTATTATTATTTAATTTCCTGACTAAGCCAGGGGAAAACTTCGCTGTTTACTATTTACCACTGCTTTGCACCTGGTGGAACTTCTGATTTTAAATTAAAAGAATATTATATGTTGTGAGTAGTACAAAAATAAGTTGGTGAATAAAGGGTGTGAGAAAACAGATCTTTGGTTTTTGCATTCTGGCATATGTGACATGTTTGTGTTTTAGAGAGAAGTTGTGTGGAGTTGTTCACTGAGCTGCTGCTTATCAACAACTCTGCATGTTTGTGATTCTGCTGGTAGGCTGCTCATTAGCATAGCAGACTATTAGAATATGAAATGATAATGATCCAGTAGCATCAGTGCATCTGCAGAAATGTACACTCAAACCCCTGCTCCTTCAAATGTGACATTTTCAGATAACCTGGACACAAGTTCTACAATTTATTTTCATGTCTGGAACATGTGAATGATTTGAAGCAAGCTCTGACTTAATGTATCACTTTCGCTGATCTAAAGGTCACCTTAAAGATCTAAATGTTAGATTTTATAAAGATTAATTGGAAGTAACAGTCAAATGACTTCTGCCACAGGCCGCCACTGCTCCACTCTGATAGGAAAAAACATTGAAATCATGTACCCATTTAGAATATTCAGATTCAAATGTTAGATAAACTAAACCAGGTGATGAAAAATGCAGGCCAAGCATTCAAAAATCTGTCTACACAAACTAACAGAGGATTTTTGCATTGTTAGCTATTTTAGGTTTCATATACAACAGCAACTGGGAGGGATGCTCAGCATCTGCCTATTTGAATGAAAATTCGCCTTACTACATAACTCCATTGCTCATTCACTTCATTTAATCTGAAAACACAGGGATTAACACATTGCTATTCCCCTCCTCCTGTTTGGAAATGCTACAGCAATCGATCAGTTCTAAAGTAAGACTCATGCAACATACCAATGTCTACTGGAAGCCAAAAGTCAAACATTTACAGATAGTCAATAAAGTTGGCAGCAGCATTGCTATGAATTATGAAAGGTTATCAGTAATGGAAAAAAGGCCACGTCCAATCTCTGCCAAAAGTCAATCAATCATTCATAGGAAAATAGCTGGGACAGGGAGATGTCTGAGGTGGTTGTGAGAGTAAAGAGAGACATGGAGCCAGAAACGAGCCTACCCTTCTTTCATAGCTGACATACGTTTTAACCTTATAAATCTTTTAAAGCCTTGGCCAGGTCACTCTTGTAAAAAAAATGTCAATGAGTTGTTTTCCTGGTTAAATAAAGGATACTTACTTACTACATCTATTTAGTAAGAGACGGAACACAAGTCACCTTTGATACCTAAAAAATATTTTATTTCTGTTATTCACTCTGGTTTTTTTACCTCTGAAGTTCTGTGAGACTCAGGTGTTTGGCTCTGGGTACGAGCAATTCGGAATTCATAGAGAGGATTTGCTTGTTAAAGCTTCTGCACACTTCTGTTAAGGCACAGCTGCGTTCATGTTCCATTTGGTGAGCATGTGGGCAAAAATGAGCAATATTTTCTTGTCTGCACAGCAAGTCAAACATTAGAGTTTCATCTGCTTGGTCGTGCCATTTGTCAGTTGACAAATCCTTTCAATATAGTCCACCTGGCTTCGCTCGCTCATCATTTTGAAGGAATTACACTGTCTAGGGGTGACGAGGGGATTACAGAAAGAAGTGAGAATAAGTGACAAAAAAAAAGCTGGGAAAGAGAACAGGGAGAATAAGACAGTTTTTCTTTAAATCTCATCTTTCCAATATAAGCCTTTCACCATTAGAGGATGGAAAGAACAAGAGGAAAAGGTTTATATGTACCCACCGTGCAACTGCTTCGACTGACGGGCTCTAAAATTGCAATTGATCCTTGATATTCAATACAATAATAGTATGGAAAATGCAATCACAACATGCATGGTGTGTCAATAAAAGTAATGACTTTTTTTTCTCTTTTCTTTTTACAAAAAAAAAAACCCATCAACATTCTGAAAGAACCTCTGAAATCTTCACTGAGTTGTCCTTTTTTCAACACCTTCCCCAACTATAGAGGATATAATACAGAGGAGATTGCAATACATACCTATAGTTAAGGAAAATGTAACTTTAAATGTCCTTAAATTAAAACCATTAAGGTCTCACGTGTTCAAAGCATGATCTCATGACTGCCTCCTATCTGTTAACTTGTCCTCTAACAAGAATAATAAGTCTGTGTTTGCAACAGAAAGCAAACAGCTCACATCTTAGTTTTCCAGACTGTAATATCCACACTGTTTCTTTGTGGTTGACTAATAGCAGTAAAACAAATAAACAATTCAGTGGCTAAATGTCAACCACATTAAATTCCATTTGTTATGAGAACCATTTACCTTACAAAAAAATGCTAATAATAATAATGAAAAACAGCCACTAATCTCATTGCCACATTAACAAAATTTTGGCAAGGCTTGTAAGCTGTTCTAAGCCCTTTTGAGAACATGTCACAGCCTTTGGATATAGGATGATTTTTTTTTTTTTATGATTCTGCTTCTCTTGTAATCCCAGACTGGCTCATCAACCTCACTGCACTTACTTGGCATAATTTAGTTTCTGCATGCTCAGTAATAAATCTTGTATGACCTCCTCCCATATGCATTTGAATAATATGCCTATGGCTACTGCCACCTAAAGCCAATGAATTAATTTCTGTCTATATCTTAAATGCTTGTTTAATACTTGACTAATTCAGACTTAATGCTGCCATCATAGCTCTCCTCGGCTTGTTCTTGCAAACTGCAAACTGCAAGAACAAGAGAGGAATAGACGACTGAGCAGCGAGCAGGAATGTTTCTGCTAGCTGACTACACTTCATTCTCCTGAAGGCTACTGCGCAACGTGACTGCAGACAGAAAGGCAAAAGAGGGACGCAAGGAGAGCACACAGATGGGGAGAAAAGTATTAGAGTTAAACTTATGAGAAGAGGGACAGGAATACACAAAGAAGATAAAGTTCCCAATTCTAATCCCAATATCCTCAATAAATATAAAACAAACTTAGCCTGGAGGGATATAGAAATGTAGTGAGAAAAGTAGGTGGAGCAATATTCCAAAGTGGCTGATAAATAAATGGATGTCTCCAGAAAACAAGACACGGGTCGACAGCCTAGAAAAGGGAGGAACGACACAGAGGCGTTTTGACGTGGCTTTTTACATTCTCGACTGGACAGCTGAAACCGCAGGACTGAGTGTCAGCAGACGGCAATCTCGCATCAGATAAAATCGATTCATATCGTCACGTTTGTCAAAGAGTTTCCGCTGTTTCTACGCCAGCTTTTACAGCCCATAGACCTGTGAGTCAGTAAAGTAAAAGTAAAAAAAATTATTTTCCCACTCCAGCAGCCCTGACTGCAGCACCCTCATCGAAAATTACTGCATGGACATGATTGTTACCACATAAATATTGGCTCCAAAATTTAGAGGGCATGATGAGATTTAAACATGGGACAGAATGACAAAGGCATGTAGGAAAAAATAGAGATATAGGGGTGAACAATGTATTTAATCATCACATATAGCAATAAGAATATACGTTACATACCACTTGTCCATTCTGTGGGTTTTTGTGGGCGTAGGGAGGACCTCTGATGTGATTCCACATCTGACCAGATGTCATTGCAAACACTACACACTATATTTGACAGGTGGACAGAAACAGGGGGAAGCAGTGGGAAGACAAAAAAATGCATCAAAAGTGTGGAAATAAAATAAGGCTTCAATTGACTTTGTGTGGGAAATGTTGGCAGAGCATATATGTTCTAAAAGTAACAAATTTGTAAAAGGAGAATAGTTTGTGAGGAAGTACGCGTGCAATTGCATGTGTATTCTTACCAACGCAGCCATGGCCCACCCAGTCTTGTTATAAATGAATTCTAAATTGTTTCTCCTCAGGTATAGCAGACCTCCAACCAGAGACACTAAAAGAGCCAAAGCGATGGTCCCTGAATAATTAGGAGGACGGAAGACACGGATCTGGAGAGATAAAAAGACAAAGAAAGACAGGTTATCTAAAACATACATGGACTTTACAGATTGAAGGAAACATTTGCTTATATTAAAAGAGTGAAAGAAAACTAAAAAAATATAAAAATATACTATGAAGAGATCCGAATTTCAAAATGGTTAAAAAATAAATACAGAGAAGGTTGGAAAGGCATATTGTTTATATTGATACTGAATAACTTTCATTCACATGAGTTCAGTTACTTTATGAAAATATTTCAGTTTTGTGAATCTGTGTAACCAAAAAGACAAAAGAATACTGGGTGTCATGTTTACTATAAACAGGTGCAAGGTTAAATTTATCCAGAGAACAGAACATTTATGCGTCACCAACAGTGATTATGGCATCGCTAAAAATCTGTTCACCATCTGCTGCTAAAAAAGTGTTTGAATCTACAGTCTGATATGAGATTTCAATTACAATGCATCTAATTATGTTTGTGAAGCTTTATTAATGTGACCCCACATAAAAAAGTACACAAAAAATATTGAAACGTGAAAGAAACTCACAACCAAAACGTGATAGTTAGTAGGTTTCTGCAGTCCAACTGGGATTTCATTGTATTTATTTTTTCTATATTAAACATCTGAAAAGCAATAACTTCACAATAATATGATGATTGTTATGATAAAAAAAAATCTAAATGTTTCCAACCAAACAGTCCAAGCTCATGTCCTGCTTATCCCTAATATCAATATAATTAGTGCATTCATGACAAAGTTTTTTAATCTCTCTATAATAAATACCTTTATTATCATCCAATTACTTTAATACTTTACGGATCCTAAATAAAGCAACAAAGGTTCTAAAAACTAGCACCCTGTTGTAAGTGTTTCCATTCGCCTTCTATATCAGGCAGGCCTTGAAATACAGATCCATCAACAGGATGCCCGCAGGATATTGGACTATGTAAGCTCACACGGCCCAGGCAGGTCCTTTAGGGACAGCAAAAATGTAGTTGATCAAAGCTGGCAGTTACTCTGTGGCCCCATGCACAAATATTCACTATCAGAAGTCAAATGGACAAAAGCATTGCTAAAACCTAAAACATATGATATGGCTAATGCTGCATTTGCTGTCGGAATGTGGCATAACTCTAAACAAGGCTGCATTTAGGTTCATTTGTTTGATCCAATCTTAATTTGGATCCCAACTATTTCTCACGAGACTGTCAGACTGTTAATGAAATGAAACAGAAGTAACAGATGAGTTTCTTTTCATTCATTTTTTTTTTTTTTTTTTTTTTCTTTTTTTTTTTTTTTTTTTTTAATAAGGACCTTACTTAACCATTAACACAAGTTGCCAGCTGGCCATTAGTAGCTGATGAACTGTCAAGCCACTCGCCTGCTGCCGGAACGGGTAGCAGATGTTTGGTAAGCTCACCGCAGCTCCACATTTGTTCACTTCTAAGTCTGTTGTGTTCAGCCGCAAGCAACACTGACTTTTGTGTGGCTCCCCGTGCAACTCCCTTGAGAACCACAAAAGTTTTGTAGAACTTAAATAATAGTACTTCGCAACACCTGTTAAAAGGATTTGTTGTGAAATTGGTTTAGTTTTGCCCTTAGGGCTTTATGGCAAGAGAAAAAGATCCTGGTCTGGAGCAGAGGGTTTTTAAGCAAATTATATTTTAGAACTATACTCAAATAGTAAATCTCTACAATGTATAACAAGATAAATATCCTTGAGATAGTATGTTGTGCTGGAATCATTAAGTGGTCACAGAGTATGTAAACAGTGTTATATTAAAAGGAAAATCCTTTTTTGGAGATCTGCCACATTTCCTGTTAGATTTCAAACAGACGTGAGCCTTTCTTAAAAATATGCGTGAGTGGATTTGTTATTCCTCACCTGAACATCTGTGCGGTCAGCAATCCATTTGGCCAGTTGCTCTGAGGCGAATCCAATCCTTTGCAGGTCAAATGTATCAGCTCTCTTTGGCTTCCCCTTTGCCGGGAAATGCATGAAGGTTGGGGCACTATTCATGTTCAGCTGCACAGAAAGAGAGAATAAGAAAAGAGTGAAACACATAAAGGTACATGAACGGACTGTTGCTTGGTAATGGCCTTGTTTAACTTGTTTAACACTGGACATTTTTGGATGTGTCCACTCAATGAAATGTGTGTGCATCATTGCAGCGATGCAGTGATGCACACAACCAAATCCAAGATAGAGATATGAGTGAAGATATTGTTACTCCCAGCAAGTATCAAAGTGGAAAGCCTTAATAGCTTCCCCTGCTTAAACATAAGCAGCAGTTTGCAGGTGTCTGGTACCACTAAAGTGCTTACTAAATAATGCATTTCCACTTGAGTATTTTGTTAATGCTTAGAAGAGGGAAAAAAAGAGCTGGCCAGATCCTGTCCACAGTTTCCCTGTTACACATGAAGACATCACAGTAGAAACTAAGCAGCGTATTAGGGAAACAAGGCAAACGTTTTATGATGGTTTTAAAGTGTTAACATTCTAAAGAACGAATAAACACACAACTGAGCACAGCGCTGCAGGTAGATATAAAATTTCAGATTTGTGTGCAGTCTGCTTTTTACTGAGGCTTCTCTGGATGTGTCCTGCAGCTTTGAATCATTCCTCCACCCTCCAGCAGCTCTTCAGCAGGCTAATTTATCATATTTTTCTGGTACTTTAGACTTCATGGGGAACAGACAACCACAGTCTGAAGAAATCACTTAGTTCCTTGAAAGAGGTATCCGGGCTTTAAACCTTAAAACCTATAGGTGTATTTGAGCTAAGAAAAAAATAAAGATATTAAAATTCAAGGTGATGCACAGCACTGCACACTTTATTATATTGTATCTGTATGGGGCCATTTTTGTGCATCAACTTTACAATGCCACCGTAATCTTGTTCCATCCCATTAAGTTCTACCTATTATTTGTTGTGTTGTGGCTGTGAATGAGCTCATAATGTAAGTGAGGGAGCTCTTCTCGAGGTACAAGAAACATCATATGGCATATTGGGAATTCCACTCAATCACATTTATCTGCATCGTAATGGCTAGGACCATAAAATGAGTGTGTTAAACAATGAAAATGGATTGGTAGGAGTTTGAAGTTTCCCTCAGACGTCACAGTGTGTTTAATACGTTCAGAACTGTAAAGTTCAGCTTTGTGCTGTGTTTTCATTCATTTATCAATTCAGCACTTTTGTCTTATGAGGTCTGAATGCAGAAGGGTAAGCAAGACTCAAAGGAAGAATGTGATGACTGAGGCAGTCAACAGCCGGGACCGGGTCAAAGTCAGCGACATCATGCTCCTGGCGGTGGGGGCAGGTTCTTCTCTTTCTTCCTTTCTTTTTTTTTTTAATTACTCACAGTATGCATCCTATCCATGGCTAACTATAAGTTTGACTAGTCTACACTTTCTGTTTTTCCCAAAGACACTGGTAGAAAGAAAATGCATAGTTCAAGAAAATTAAACAATCACTGTAGAATATTCTAATGCATTTAATTATTTTTAATGAATAGGATGTTTGTGCAATAGAACTGCAAAATGTATTTAACATAAGAAAATGGAAACTCATGTGTGTAAGGATCAAAGAAAAACATCCAGCTCTTTACATACACATAAATGCACAAATTGTGACAATTGGACACTATTGAAAAAATATTCAAGTGACAAGAAATATAAAGATATCAGATAAACAGTGCACAGTCAGAAAATGCAAAGAAGCCCTTATACCCAAAGGTTTACCAACTTAAATCCAACTTAAATCCAAACATATTTAAGTTTGGATTATAGAAACTTCATGAACGTGATATTTTTTAGAACATTGACTAGGATATTGTTCTGAATATCTTTTTAGCTTTTTCGCAACGGACACAAGAATGGAAACTGGTGAGGATCCAAAAAAAAACTTTTTTAAGTAAACACAGAGACTGACATGAAGAAAACATGTACGTTGTAAACTTTGGTGAAAACTATCGAATGTGAACTTCTTACCTGTTGGAAGACATCGGCTCCCTCATCATAGTCGACCACAGTGAAGAAGAGCTTGTTGGAAAATGCAGATGAATAACGCCAGGAGTTTGCCAGGACCTGATACTCCTCATTTGCCTGTCTGGAAAATAAAAAATAGAACATAAACACAACAAGGTACAAAAGAAACAAGAATGATAACAAGCTGCACGATGAAACTTTGACATGAAATAAAAAACAGGCTGTTCTACAGTCGCTTTTATTTGTAACAAATGGTTACAAATGGGCTAAAGAAAACAGTCTGTGTGTATAGAACGCTAACAGCGCTCAAAGAACCAAAGTTGAACTACAAAAGGAAAAACGCTAAGGCTTAATGAGAATACTGGAAAAAAAGTGACCCCAAACTAACATGTGAAAGTAGAGCCTTGACTTTCTTCAATCCTCACCTTTGTCCACATGTCCTCAAAAAAAGCCTACAGTGGGAGTAAAATTAACACAACTTTCTTTACCTATTCATCTTTAGTTGAATGTTTTTCTGGAATCATAGATGATAATTTTCTTTTCTTTTTTGGTTCAGTCTCCTGATTTTTTATATAAAAGAATGTACCCAAAGGGAAAGGATGAATCAGACCAAAAAGGATACAATAAATACAAATGTATAGAATAAACAAATAAAAACACAGAAAATATAACATTTTGGCTCAGTAAATGCATCTGATAATAAAAAAAGGCAAAAGAAGCTTAGTTTCTTGTAAATATTGATTTAGGATTTATTAATAAAATATGAATGAAAATTAATTTGATATTTCCACTGATGTTAAAAAGTTCAAATGAAAGAAATTCTTACAGACTGGGAGTTCATTTGTAAACCTCACATACATGCTGCCTTAGAAATTCAGCATCGAATTATCCTCATACTAATAACATAGACGTGTCAGATTTATATCTTATGGTCAGAAATAAGGGAAATGGTCTGTATTACCAGTAGACGTCAATATGTGGCCAATATGGCCAATATGTGCCAGTCTGGTCTGTGTGGAAACTTTGTAGTGCGGATATGGGTGATGAATAACTTATCTAATCAAGCAACTGATGAAGCAGCAGTATGGCTGATTAGAGCAAGAAGCCAGGTCAGGAACGGTCAAGGTTAATATTGATTTTCATCAACTAGTTCCTTGCCCCTGTGGACACCTCAGTTTGGCTAGATATAAGGACTGTACAACATAAACACAAGGTGCTGGTTAGGTTTACTCGAAAAAGTGATATAATGGGTCGCACCTCTGTTACAGACTGAAATATGAAAAATAATTACCTTAAATTACAGTTATTTTGTATTTCTGAGCAATGTGATAATGTTGAGTCAGTCGAGATGTTTTCTATACCTCAATGCCAAATCAGCCACAGGTTCTTACATTTTCTGTTGGAACCCCCCCCCCTCCAACCACCACATAGCCACTGAATCTTTGCACAAGCTCACATACCTGCAGACAGAACACTGCCTTTGAGGCTGCAGAGCAGTGAACATGACGATGACAGAGTAGTTCCTGGGCGGAGCCTTGACAAAACGGCGGAATTTGTCCCCATTCATTCGGATGACTGACCGGCGGGAGGACCACTCCATCATCTGGTCAACCTTCTCCGACAGCAGGTTCTGAACAAAGGAAAGGGCGGCTTAGGACTATGTGCTTGATGCTCAGATGGAAGAAGTCAGGTCGTTTTAACAAGTTACAAATTCAACGACATGTAAACATTTAGCTTCTCCAATTGCACCCTGGTTCTCTGCAGCGTATCGACGTCTGTGACTTCTTTACAGGCAGTAGCCCTTAAATCTCAACCATTTTGGATCTCAGAGGATGCTGCTGTGGCACAATAGTGAAGATGAAAAACCTAATGGTAAAGGGAGCACGCTAGAGGCTTTGAAAGAGCATCAGCTTTTAATATAAACATCTGGCAGTTATGTGTGGCTTGAATATACTTGTGTGTCTGGTACAAAAATCTGTAAATCTACTGTACGACTGCCAGTGTTGGTTCTCTAGAGGGCCCTTCTCTGGTGCCGTCAGCATCGTCCTCCCCAGATTTCAGCTCTGGTCTGATGAATGATGAAACACTCAGACTGCTGATGAAACACTTGTTTTTCAACCTTTGCTGATCAAACTGTACAGGAGAAAAAAATCTGAGCGAAAAGCACGCTTTAGTGTACAACAGAATCTTGACGGGGCTTTTGGTTTTTGAACCAGACAGTGCTACATCTGAGCCGTTTGTCATGCATTTTTAATTAAAAACTTCTGTCTGCCAAGCAATTTATCATTGAGTTGTTTTGCCAACTGAGACACCTGAGCATGCAGACTTTCACGGCATTTTTCATAATTCCTCTGCTCAGTTGCTTGAATTAAATATATGCATGCGAGAGTCACTGATCTGGAATGATCCTCTGAGAATGAGAATTCTGTGCACCGTTGAGTCACATAACAAAAACTGGTTTTAGGGCAAATGTTAAACCATATGCAGTAACTTTCAATCAGCCTCTGCTTCTTCCTTTTTCTGCACAAAAGTTAAGAAGTATTGTATCAAGTAGACAGTAGTTAAATAATTTAGTACTGCACCTCACTTACTTTTAATCGAGCCCAACCTCAGTCCCTTACACACATCGACAACAAAACACATCCACTCTTGGAGTTGGCAATAGGAACTGCGCACTAAATCTCTCCAGTAAACTGCCTGGGAACAAGATCAACAGAGGTAAAAAAAAAAAAAAAAAAAAAAAAAAAAAAAATACTAAAAAGGTGGAGGAGGATAAGGCAGAAAGTCAAACAGAAAGAAGACAAGCAACAGCCGACACTGTGTTGCTTGGGCGTTCTCGACAACACACACTTCTAATGAGCCATGTATAATGAGGGAGAGACATAGCACAGAGCTCTGCAACACATCAACACAAAAATAAACACATCACTGCGAATGTCCAGAGGAGGTACAAAGTGCTCTCTGTACATCTTTGCTTTTTCTGTCTTTAATTCCTCCACCTTGTCTTTGCCCGCATGCCTGCAAGCCCCAAAGGGAGAGCTGCCAGTCCTGGATGCCAATCATGCTGACGGTAATGATGCACTGTCTTACTTGTGTTTCTTATATACACACACACATACACACACGAGCAAACACATACACGCAACTACAATCAAAAGTGCTGAAAACTTTTGGAACTGTGTGAAGGAACAAAAAAAAAATGACAAAGGTCCTGAAAAACAATTGAGAACAGAGCAGGTGAAATGATATATGATATAGAAATAGTAGTTGCCACTATATAAAGTACGTTTTGAAGCAAAGGCTAAGTTGAGTTGGTCAAATGGATAATGAAATAAAATAAATCAATTAAACACAAAATATATAGAACCACTTTTAAAAAAAAAGTACATTTTCAACACTGTATCCCGAGACTGCATTAGCCAGTGTTTGAAAGACTAATGCTACAGAAATCTCAAAGGAGACAGGGAGCATCGTCTTAATGATATTTTTACCAGTTTGTCCAAAGTTGCATTGGAAAGCCAATTATTTCAAAGCACTCTCCGTAAAAAAAAATGCCGATGTGTGCGCAGAGTCCCTGGTGTTGCCGCCGAGTCTGCGTGACTGCTGTGAAATGCCGTGACCATCTATCCTGCTCGTAACCACTTTGCCACTCCACAGGAACGTGTCAGGAGGTGCTAAATGGAAACCATACTAAGATGCTGGATGGAACAGTAACAGGGAAGAAAAGGCATGCTGATTTCTTTAATACTGTATGTAAATGGTTCTCCTTCAGTATGCACGTTGAGCGTTATGAGGACTCTACACTGACGTAAGCAGGAGGGTATGACTGTGTGTGTTGGCCTGTGTTGGTGATGGAATGGGGACCTGTCTGGAGTGGACTCATCTGTGTTAGGCTAAAACAAACCCAAATGATAGAATCAATCCATTAAAAAAAAAAATATATATATTATATATATATTTGTCCATATAAACCAACTCTAGTCAGGTAAGGCCGGGAGCAGCAAGACAGACCTGTGTGAGTCTGACTCGCAAAGAAGGGGTGACGGTGGATCATGGTCTGCTGAACACACAGTTTTTCAAAAGTTACAAATAATTTAGTTTGCAAGCTGTCATTTATTGTCTTCGGCCTCACTTCTCTGAACTTGCAACACAGTGTTACAAAGTTGAACCCTAAAACTACCACGTAAAAAACATGATTTCACTGCATGAAGGAAAACTTTTTTTTTTTTTTTCCCCGTCATTTTGGTCCAACTGCTTAAAAGATTATTAAAACACAATGCAGATAAAAAACACAAAAAAACTCAACCGACGTCCAGTCAAGTCTTCAGCTCTCTGAATGTAGAGCTTTTGTAGGACAGGTTAATGAGGCCGCATTAGCCCTGGAACTGAGAGCACACTATGTGGAATTATATGGAAATGCTTCCAATAAATCATTAAAGATGAATAAATATAGCATTATATAACAACGAATAAATGTTGAAAATGTGCCTGTTTAGATGGTACCGTGACAACATACAGTTCATTTGCAGCTATCTGGAAACCCAGAACTGGTCCCACATCTCCCACCAAATAAATATTACAATTGCAATGCATCATTATAAATAATTAGCCTGTTAATAATTAGTTGCTAAATCAGTCATACTGCACACTCTCAAATCGTTGTTTAGATCATTTTCGGCCATTTATGCTGATGTTTTTTTTAGATATTTCGGGATACAATGAAGAAAAGAGAGCTAATTTGTGACATTCCTTTAATAAAATGCATGTCACAAAAGGAATGGGGAGATAAGTGGATTAATTCAGCGACGGGACCTTGGCGACTTCTGTTTGATCACACTTCTCTCAGACTGACGGGAACGAAGCTGCTATCTGCCCGCTGCTGTAACGGCTCTGACGTGGCGTTCGACCGAGCTCAACTGTGCTTCCCTTGAAGATGCAAAAGGGTTGGAGAGGCTGAGCCCATCCACTCTGTGTGCACGAGAATAGCTTCAGTCTGACTGATCCTGGAGTTTGAGTGTGTGTGACATCCCCTCCTTCTCTTGTTAGACGGCACGTTGAAAAAGAGCTAGAGCTCCATACATTACCCACAGCCCTGCTGAGTGTGGGAAAAACCTGTTTGCAGGGGTTGGGAGCAATAATGAAGGGCCCTAAGTAAAACAACAAATGAAGACCCCTTATTTGTGATTGTAACGTTGTAACTAACCTCATCTCTTAAAAATACCGGTAAATATACTTCTTTTTATTATGGGCGCACTGAAATGAGCTAGAACTTATTTTATATTTATAATATTTACAGTACACAGACTAAATTGTTGTAAAACTACTTAGTTTATTCTGTTGTCTATTGTGAGACGTTACAGATATCAAATATATCTGCATATCCTGTCAGGCTGACAGTAGCTGATAGTTTCTCAGAGAGGAGGGGATGTCTGTGTTCCCCCCAAGTTAGTTAAACTTAGGTAAACTTAGCTAAATAACATCTGAGGACTTTCCAGCATTTCTGCATTTGTATGCTGAACTGCAGCGCACCTATACGGAGCCATTTGTGTTGAATTGCTGAATTGGGTTACCTTGTAGTAATAGATGTGGACAGCAAGCCCAAGGATTTGATCCGCAAGCCATTCACATGAAAAGCTAACAGTATTTGTTCTATGAGCAATCCCTTGCTCGGGGTGGTCTTAAGCGCAGCCCATTGTCAGTGAATGGGTCTTGGCTTTGGCCATCATCCTCCTATACAGTTCCCTCCAATTCCTCTGATTGAACAGAGGATTACTAGAAATTGACTTCATATAACAAAGACTTCTTTCTGTGTGTGTGTGTGTGTGTGTGTGTGTGTGTGTGTGTTACTCTTGCTCTGACTCAAACCCAAGCACAGGCAACACGCAGAGTCTTTAAAAAGGATTGAAACCGGCTTCTTTCTATCCATCCATTTTCTATACCCACTTATTCCAAGTAGGGTTGTGGGGGCTGGAACCTATTTTGGCACTCTTTCTGAGAGGTGGAGTACAAGTTCTTTGATAATAACCAATACAAAACTTTTGTCAGCAGTCAGTTAGTCTTTACCTCCACCGTCAGTCCATTTGCATGTATTAAGTAAAGATAATGGCTTCACCCATTCAATGTATGACTCTCTTTTGAGATGTAGGAGGATAAAGTTATTAACAAAGGTGAGTCTGACAACACAATGCTTTTGATTTTAGGAGATAATGCACAATTTATTGTATTACTTCTAACTTCATCCGTGCATTTAAATGGGTCTGAATTCACCGAACAGAAGCTTTCTTTTCTACTTTCTAAGTTAGCTGAATGGTTATTCTTTGAGCTGGTGCTCAGAGAGGAGGTTTGGAAATGTTTTAAGGGACGGGGACTTTACATGGAGTCTTAATGGGCTGCTTTTCAGTGACTATTTCTGACACGGTGCGCCATGGGACAAAAGGAAACAGAACATTTTAATTAGAGTAGCTTTTGGGGGAATTTGGCATCAGTAAAATACATTTACGTTTCACTGTTCATCTAAAAGATGCATCACATTCCATCAGATCATTCTTTACCTTTAACTTTTAATAATGTACAATGTCAAATCAGACGTGAACTAATCTTCTAACTAAACTAATGAATAAGTGAAAAGAA